TACATATAGATTTCCTGTCATTTCTGACATTAAATCTGATCCTAAGATGCTCAAGAATGAGCCAGGTGTGGTAATTTTTTTCCGGCAAGCCACAGATGGCATATAGATGGTATTAGTCACCACTAGATGCAAAGAAAGCCTGTTTCTCTGTAGAATCATCTTAAAAGTGTGACACCCTATGAACAGCATGAAGAGGGCAATCAGGACAGGGGGTGATGTGGTGGATGATATGGATAAGGGAAGCCATAGCATTAATAAACTAGCAGATTAACATACTCTACATCCACAAAATTATTTCTCTAACTCATGCTACAGAATTAAAATTTGGGTCAACTAATGCAGACAAATAAACCTATTTCTGACATGTCGTAAGGATTATATGCAAATGTTAAAAGCATTGTAAAAGCAAGGTGTTCATTTGAACCAACTTACCTGAACTTGTTTGCCTAACCAATCAAAAGCTATAAATCCAGACTCAGTCCTTAGTATTAAGAGCCCAAGAAGAAACTGTAACCCAATTCCCGAAAAGACAAGCCTCCAGTAAACCTAGACAGAAAGATGAAGAGATATATCTTATTAGAAAATTAGTGCTGAACTCAGCATCAATGCCCAGAGGATCACTTTTTCTTTGGAAGTTTCTCACATGTGGCCCATGACCTGCCTTCTTTGGGTGGCCAAAGCAGTCGTGAGCAGAGAATCCCTTGATAGAATCATCCCCAAACATCTCTCAGGGTTGCATTCCCTGGTTCTAATGCTGAGTTTGAGGACTTCAGTCTTGGGAGAGTATGTAACCATTATGTCATGATAAAATAACAGACACAAGAGTAGTCCTAAAAGGGCCGGTAAAAGAGGAAGGATCTGGTCTTCCTAGTCATGCTGTAAATATTGGATACCTGCCATTATTTTTCCTGCCTGGAAAATGGAAATGCAGAACATGATTTCTCTGTGTGCCCAAGGTTTGTTGATCTGATAATTTGTAACCGAATTAAGTGAATTTCCACCCTGTTGAAGGGCTCTCATTTCTCTGTAAAAAGAGCCAATTAAGTCTGATGCAGACCCAGAGAGTGCAGACGTAATGGACAATCATCTGCTTTCATTTTTGGTACCGAGATAAGTGGCGTGCAAAGAACTATGGGATTGGAGGCATAGAACACAGCAGAGACGTTCACCAGAACAGGACAAAGGATTTGGATCATATTAGGTGACTTCTTCTTNTGTGAGCCCTGGCACTCATGCTGAAATTCTGAATTCGGCTGGTGTTTTCTCTCTCTCTCTGTCCATTTAATTTACTTACAGGAATTGAAGGAGGGCTTTGTTTGTGCACTGCCTTGCTCTCATGTGCATTCAGGCTCTCTTACAAATTTCCTACTTTTGTGATCTAACATATAAGCGTAGGATTGACAGTTGCTGGGGCAGCAGGGATGAGATGAACTCTACAGACTTTATTTTTTTAATTTGTGTGCTTATAAAGCTTATAAAGCAACACCCCCTTTTTCCCATCTTGCTTTAATTCTCTAGCAACTCCTGTATCAGGACTGCCACTATTGTGACCTTCTGAGGATAAGCAGTGACTCTGTGTAAAACCAGCTGGAGAGCCAAGATGAAGGAACAACGCTGCTCTCCCTGGAAGGTGTCTGACCTATTTGGAGTCAAGTCTTTGGCTAAAGAAGTAACTGCTAAAGTTGCATGAAGATATCCAGTGGATTGCAAGTCAACACCCTATTAGAAGTCTCTGAGATGAAATTCCCTCTATGGACACAAGTAGGATTTTTAGGGTTTCTGACTAATAACTTAATAACTTAGTACTAAGAGAAAGGTACTTTGGAAAAACCTGGATACAAGGCACGTAAGGCTTTGTCCCTGAAATAATCAGCTCTATGCCCGCCACCCAATCCCTTCCAGTCCTGGTACCTTTTGAACGATCCACTGCATCAATCCAAGGTAGTAGAGCATGGAAATCACAGTGCTGAAGAAAACCACTATTGGCAGGACCTGGGAGTGGGGTGGGATGAAAGTGATCATAGGGTAATGTTGGCCCCAGTCACATTAGTATGTTTCAGATCGGTCTTCTTCCTGCCTCCTTTCCCCCATCTGAGACATCATAAAAGTACTGGAAACTCCTCTTGAACTCAACAACACTTTTATAGGGCAGCTTGCCCATCCACAGTCTCTTACTCTAACTTGTTCGGGATAAGCATGAGTATATTACATAGGAAACTTGACATTTTTCCCCCCCTCTGGTATGATGAGCTTTTCTTACTTTAGTTTCTCAGGGAAGGAACGACATTTTGGGGGAATTTGTAATAACTGGATTAACCAGCTGAAGGCTAATGGCAGGTATTCTTGTTCTGATATGAAACAGACATGGGCATCACCATTCATTAGCAGAGTTATCTGGGTGGAGAGTAAGTGCGAGCAACCTCAGATCCTTATTCATAGAGGCTACACAGATCAGATACAGCATGGTAGGTGCTTAAACACAGTGCCTCCT